CTTTCATCACTATACGTCATCATGATCTACGTCACGAGAGTAAAATATTCCCTCATCATCATCTACTCTCCGTCTTACACCCACTCTCTCTCTCTAAATCTCTCTTCCTTACTACTCTCCTTACACCCACCAAATCCAGTTTTTTTTTTACATGGGGGGGGGGGGAGAGTTATTGGATAACATCATCTGCTTGTGATATTCTCTGGGAAGGAGGGTGAGAGGATATAATACTCATCCTCTCACACCCATCTGCGCATTATAGTGATTGGCCACATCCTACATACCACTTGAACAACCACAGACCCAAACAAACCCAACCCCCCACCCCCCCCCCCCACATTCTTTCCACAGAAGAGGCCCACAGAAAAGGAACAATATACACAAAACACACTCACCCCCCCCCCCCCCCCCGTAAAAAAAAAAAAAAAATCCCCCCCATACCCCGGGGGCACCCGCGCAATAAAAAAACCATTTTAATAGGAAAACAGTCGAACCTGATCTAACGACCGCCTGTCCACCAATACCTCCAATTCCCACTTCCTCCGTTGCGGATTTTTTTTTGGGGGGGGAAATGGGGGGGGGGGGGGTTTGTTTCTTTGTTTCTTTGCTGTTGTGGTCGGTGTTTTGTTTTTGTTTTGTTTTTTTTGTTGTTGTTTGGTTGGGGGGGGTTTTGGTTTTTTGTTGTTGTTGTTTTTTTGTGTGTTTTTTTGTGTGTTTTTTTTTTTTTTGGGGGGGGGGGTTACATTATGATGACTTTGTACAAGACGCCCACCTGTCTAGAAGAACCCCTTTACTCCTCAACTATGGATGACTGTCTTGGACAATTAATTCGATTGTAATTATACATATGTAATAATGAGTGTGTATGTTTGTGTGTACGCGCGCGCGGTGTGTGTATGTGTGTGTGTGTGTGTGTGTGTGTGTGTGTGTGTGTGTGTGTGTGTGTGTGTGCGTGCGTGTGCGTGTGTGGGTAGGTGGGTGGGTGTATCATTAATGTAACACAATGCTGCACGTTTAGCTTTACGGAAAAGAAAGCGAGACTCTGTGAAACCTTTTTTACGGACATTGCATTGGCTTCCTTTTGAGAAAAGAATTGTGTACAAGTTGGCCACCCTATGTCACAAATGTTTGAATGATAATGCACCATCATATTTGTCAAATCTGTTAAGACTGTACATTCCAACTCGCAGTTTAAGGTCATCAGCTGACAAAAGGAAATTTGTTACCATCTATGAAACTTAAAACAATGGGTGAAAGGGCATTCGAATACCCAGGCCCCAAGATTTGAAATGCTTTACCAAGTAGGCTACTTTAACAGAGATCAAATCTTTCGATTCATTCAAATGTCAGCTGAAGTCGTTTCTGTTTTTAAATTAATACGATGAATATTTGGAGCAATTTTCTTTTAGTCAGAACACAACATTTTATGATATTGTTGTACACTGTACTGTATTGTAAAGCGCTAAGAGCCTGGTCTGTGTACTTTAATCGGGGTTGAGCGCTCTATAGATGTCAATTATTTTTATTTATTATTATTATTAATTATTTTTATTTATCATTATTATTATTATTATTATTATTATTATTATTGTTATTATTATTATTATTATTATTATTATTAATACAATGTATTTACTTATCTATCATTATACAGTTGCACACACATTTATTCCAGAATCATTCCAAAACATGCACGTGCCACTGTGTGCGCGTAATCCGAATGCAGAAGAGAGGGAAATACACCGATTCTGCGCCGACGCCATCCTGGTGAGCGATTTCCCCGAGCGCATGTACGTGCACAACGAGCCGGACGCGGTGCCCAGCCACCTCACACAAGAGGACTTCTCCAAGCCGCTCATAGAACGCGTGTAGGACAGCATCGGGAGTAGGGTGAAGGCGGCGCTTAAGACTAAGAGGACTACTCAGGGTCAGAGCATCGGCAGAACAGGGGCGGGCTCGAGGACGCACTCCCCGAAGCCGCAGCTGCAGCATAGGCAAGAGGAGTGATTGTAGCAGCTGCAGTTATAGTTACAGTTTACAGTTACGGTAGTAGTAGTAGCAGCAGCGGCGGAGGAGCAGCAGCAGCATCATCATTAGCAGCAGTATTAGTAGAAGTAAAAGTAGCAGTAACATCAGTAGCATTAGCAGCAGAAACAGCAGCAGCGTTTGCAGCAGCCACTAAAGCAGCTGTAACAGTTATCTTTTTCAACCCTTAATTTTTTAATAACAGTAAAATACATGTTA